GGGCTTTATTGTATATGAAATAATATACTCACTTTTATTTCAACTCAAAATCTAACTCAACTCAACTATTTTTAATATTATTCATATAATTAAAAATACAAACCAATAATTCTTACACATCACATCAACTTTAATTCACTGTTCATCCACTCACATAATTTTAACTATCTATCATTTCCAATCATTTATCTCTTACTTTTACATCAAATCAATTTTATTTATTTTATTTTAATAATATTTTATTCTTAAAATTTCACTAATAACTAATCATACCACATTTTCAAATTAACTATGTTAACCAAAATAACTCATTTTGAACAAATTATTCCATAAACAATCAAGCCCAGTTTTTCAATTGAAATACATTTTATTTCAAAATTCACTAAATTCTTCTAATGAAAATATAGTTCGTTCCGAAACTAATTAAACCAACCCATTTAATAAAAATAAAGATTGTAAGGTACAATATTCTAAAAATGACAATGGTTTTGTCTGTCCTCCTTTCATATGCAAAATAAAAATTGAATTCATTATGTATATATTCATTTAAATTCATTGTTTATGAAATAATTTATTCAAATTGAGTTATTTTAGTTAACCATAGTTAATTTTGGAAAAAGGTGGTATAGTTAGTTGTAGTGGAATTTTAAAAATATATTAAAATAATATTTAAAATAAAATGACTAAACTTGATTTGATGTAAAAGTAAGTGATAAATGATTGGAAATGATAGATAGTTAAAATTATGTGGGTGGATGAATAGTGAATTAAAATTGATATGATGTGTAATAATGATTGAATTGTATTATTTACTTATATGAATAATATCTATTAATATATAATAAGGATTAACATAATTCACTTTTAGAAATATTTTCCCGCCAATTTCATTAATTATTGTCTACAAATAGTAAATTAACAAAATCTATATTTATTAGCATATCTTTTTTTATCCAATTTTTCTAGGAATACAATCAAAATATGGAATCAAAATCAAAATAAATCTAAAAAATACACTTACCATATTTAATACACTTACCATACGTATTTTTAAAATTTTTTAAAATACAATATAAAACATTTAATTAATAATTGTCAATTAAAGATTCATTTTAAGAATCAATCATATTTCTAATAATTGTTAGAAATAATTTATATATATATTAGTATTTACGTGAAAGTAACATATATGTTATTTGTATGTTAACATATATGTTAATCCTATATAATAAGGATTAACATAAATCAAATTTAGAAACAATTTTCCGCCTAAAAATAGTAATCAGCTTTTTTGTTTTTTTTATTAATAACATCAAATATTTTTATATTAGTAACCAATAAGGAATCAAAATCTGAATAAATCTCTTATTTTTCCAAACAATTTGGAAATCCGAATATAAATCCGAATAAATCATGATTTTAGAAATTGTGATTTCCAAACAATTTGGAAATCCGAATAAATCTCCAAGGAAAATCATGATTTGTATATATCATGATTTTAGAAATATGTTCAAAATTTTCTTTGTATGAATCTGAATCATAATTCATTCAGCCTATTATTATATTATTAAATTATTTGAAGCCGCATGCTAAGATTTGTATATATCAGATTTCTAAAATCATGATTTGTATATATCATCTTTTCACCAATTAGATTTCTTTCTTCATTGTCGATTTGAAAAGAAAAACGAATTTTATATACCTTATCGATTTTAATAATACAATGTTATAATCATTATCATTATTTATTTTAAAAGATAGTGTTTGTCATTTATTTGATTTCAAAAGATGAAAAAATTTTCATAATTTACGTCTCTTTTTATTTATGCATTTACACAAATTAATTTAAAAACTCTGATAACGATTGGCAACAAAATTTGTTATGTATTGATTCAATCCAACTAATTAATAAAATAGTCCATCAATCACGAAATTAAAAAATAACACATGATCACTACATTTTACGATTCGGTTTATGTTTGTTTTAGTAAATTCTTGGTTTTCTTTAATTACGTTGATTGTGATTTTGTAGGCAAAGATTATGTAAATAATTATATGTAGCCGATTTTTGAACTCTTATTTATCAAGGATTTTTTTTTTATTTTAACAGATTTATTAGAATCATCATATATGTTACATACACAAGAAAAAAATAATAATTTTATAGTAATATTTAAATTTATATGGCATCAATTTTGGAATTCTCATTTGTCAGGATTCTTTTTAGTTTATCATATTTATTAGAACCAACAATTATAAAATATAAATTTATATTAATATCTAAATATATTTATATTAATACTTAAATATATTTTTTCATTGTAGCAGATTTTGAGAATTAACGATTTTATATGAGATATATACAATTTTTTTTTTGAGATGTACACCTGTTCCCTTTATTGATATTCTTTTTGTCAATTGTTTTTAAAAGGAAAATTTTCAAATTTTTTTATAGTAAATCGAATTTTTTTGTTTTTGTATACACAAAATATAAATTTATTGCAATATATATATATAATATATACAAATTTACTACCTAAAAAGTTGTCACACATATAATAGGAAAGCTAATTAAAAAATTGTTCAGTTTGAAAATATATAACAAGTTGTCACACATTCAATTAAAAATTGTTCGGCTTGAAAAAATTAGCCTGAAGTAATGTCTAATCACTAATGTTTTTTATTTTATATCTACTATATATAATCTCTCTCATAAAATTAGCGTGATGAATATTTAATGTTTTGTATTATTCATACATATTTTTGTAGATATAGACCAATTCATTTGTCCAACTGTTGTATAAATTATCAAATTATAAATAGATTAATCTTAGACTTCCATTTAAGTTCCAGCGGCACCAGTTCATTCTAATTTGGAGTTCCATTTAACATTCATGGTCAATCTTTTTGTATAAAAAATATAAAAATATTAGTGAATATTATATCGTTAATCAAGTATAATCGATATTAAACTAACAGCTCATTGCCTGACTGCCTATAAATTATCATATTATAAAAAGATATATCTTAGGATTTCATTTAAGTTATAGAGCACCATTTACTTCTAATCTTAGAGTTTCATTTAAGATGAAGGTCAGTCTCTATGTGCGTTGGCATATTATTAAAGAAATCGATTCTTAGCAACGACCGATTATATGTTGTTGTTTTTACGTGTAAATAATAGATAAGAGATGTGCATTGGCATGTTCTTAAAAAAATCTTTTTTTTTTTAATCACGACTAATTGTATGTTGTTACGCGTGTAAGTAATAGGTCAAGAAGAGTCAAAGTCAAAATTTATTGTACGTTAGCATGTTAATTAATAGATCAAGAAGAGTCAAGATCAACATTTATTGTATGTTGGCATGTTCTTAAAGAAATCGATTTTTAGTCACGGACAATTATGTTGTTTGTTTCGCGTGTAAGTAATAGAAAAGTGTTGATAATATTAGTTTGTAGGGACGACAAGTTGCTCAATTATTGAACAAATAATATTGTGTACAAGAAAGTTTAAATAATATATTTTTTTTGCATGATGAACAGTTTATGGTTTGATAATTTTTTTACGAATTATCAATCTTTTATTTATTAATAAATTTTAATTTTTAATATTCTTCCAAAGTAAATACAGCCCGTGCATCGCACGGGTTACATACTAGTTAAAGATAGTGGGGTTGAGTTAAAGTTAAGTTAAATTTTGAGTTGAAATAAAAGTGAGTAAATTAATCATTTTAAGTTAATCATTATTTTTTTTAACTCAACCCCAATCTTCCCTATATATTATTCTCGAATGCGCTGAGCCTACGTGGCTACTTCTGGTGCTTCGTAATCCTACTTGGCAAAGAATCATGCTTCGTAATTAGGTTTGGACAAATAATATTGATATATTAATAATTAATAATTTAGGTTTGGACATTCTATAAATATTATTTAGCTAACTTAGGTATTTTAATATCACTTGTATTAATATAACCTTTTATTTCTTTGTAATTTTACATACTGAGGTACTAAGTGACTAATATATCCCTAACTTTTTATTTGTTTCCTTCAATTAGCTATTGAATTATAAATGTATTTTAAAAGTCGATAACTTTTGTATTTCTTATCGGTTTTACATATATAATATATCAAATTAATCATCTTTTGATGATCTTCGATTTGACATCCATATTGTATATATATGAAATAAATAAATTATATTTATCTTTATAATAATAAAAAATAATAATATTTATTGAAATTCATTAGAAAAATAATATTATTTTTCAATTGATATATTTATATGTAATGTAGTTATATATTGTAAGTTCAAAAAAAAATTAGTAAAAATATAACACAAGTAAATTGCACAAATAAAAAGTGTCATAATAAATATATAATAATATATATATTCTTATAAAAGGTATTTAAATTTTCAAACTACTTTTTCTTATTAATTTTAGATTTTAAGAAAAAAATTAGCAAGCACCCGTGTAATACACGGGTGTTGTACTAGTATCATCAATATAACTAAAAAATATCACCCAATCATTTCAATCTCTCTCATATTATTACATTAAATTAATTTTAATTATTTTATTTTAAATAATATTTTTATATATCTGCTAACAACTAACAATACTATTTTTTTTTTTTTTAACGAAATAAAAAAATTGTAACACCAAATTTTTTTATATCAAACATGTTCTAGACTCTAGAGATTGGGAAGAAACTCACACAGCTGCAACAATCCTCAGCTGCCAATACTGTCATAATTACTGTGACAAGGTCAATCTTCACTGTCCATCTTACTGTTATGGACTTACAATTGAGTCCGCTTCCCAAGTACTGCCTCCCGAAGCTCACCTCGGGGAAGTATCTCAGGTGCCGGAAAAACAAGTTCGGTGTTAAGATTCCGAATAAATCCTGCGCAAATGCCGGGAAAATGGCGAGACCTTCTGTGATACTGAACGATGCGAGCGAAAGAGGTGATTCGGAGGCCACGGTGGTGGTCGAGAAGCCTCTTGTTATGCCTCGCCGTTTTGAGATCCTCTCCGGCCTTCCGGCGCCCTTTGGCGCCACCGCGAGGGACGGCGGTGTCAATTTCGCGGTTTTTTCGAGCAATGCCTCGTCGGCAACCCTCTGCCTCATAAGCCTTTCTGACTTGGCTGAGGTAGAATGATAATTCTACCATTGCTGGTTAGCGTGTGTTTTTTCGAAAGTTTTTTCAGCTTTCTGTTGTTCATAGTATGGATATGCATTCATGGCCGCTTTAGTTAGTATGATTATTGAAGGTGGGAACGCACTCAGGGTTTCTCTACTGTGATTTTGTTTTTTTTGTTTTTTTGTTTTCATCAGAAAAGAGTGACTGAGCAGATTGCTCTAAATCCGCTGACTAATAAAACAGGAGACGTCTGGCATGTATTTCTGAAGGGAAATTTTGAGGACATGGTTTACGGCTACAAGTTCAGTGGGAGTTTTTCCCCTGAGAATGGGTTGTATTTTGACTCCTCTAAAGTGTTGGTTGATCCTTATGCAAAGGTAAGTGGGTCATTTTCTATACCATTGAGGTGGAAGAAGGACTGTTTTGCATAACCTTTCTAATTTATGATTGTATAGCTATTGTGACTGGTGGCTACAATGCAGGCTGTTGTCAGCCGAGGGGAATATGGTGCATTAGGACCTGGTGAAGACTGTTGGCCACAGATGGCGTGTGTAGTGCCTTCTACTAATGATGAGGTACTTGATGAATGATATTGACGGGTTCACAATATGCAGTCCATTCTCATCTGGGATGAAAGGGAAAAGAGTGATGCTCCTGGACATGTAAAAACTATGTCTCTTGCTAAAACATAGAGCGCAATACGAGCTTGAAAACAGACCAAAGTTCACTTCTACATTGCTCCAACCTCCAACTAACCCTGTAAACAGAACTAAATTTATAATCAAGTACATGTGAAACTTTAGTACCTTAGCTTGTTAGTAAACTTTTTATGTTAGTTTCACATGTTAAATGCATCAGTTCCTTTTCTAATATCTTTCCTCCCTGATTTATTAAATCTGGTTCTTGTGACCCCCCTTTACTCAAGTTACACTTCTAATCAATGTAAGTTAGTGACCTTGTATTTAGTTTCCCAGTAGATGCTTAAATGAATTTGACCTCATTTCCAGAGAGATGCTTGGGCCTCATTCATATTTTCTCTCTCTGTTGCTCTTCGCTTTTTCAGTTTGACTGGGAGGGAGATTTGCCCTTAAAGTTCCCACAGAGAGATCTGGTTATTTATGAAATGCATGTTCGTGGATTTACTAAGCATGAGTCAAGTTATGCGAAGTTCCCTGGCACTTACCTTGGGGTGGTAGAGAAACTTGATTACTTGAAGGTACATGTTCAACATTTTTGTCGAATATTCTTAAACAAATGCTTTTGATGGTTCATCATAGATTTTTTATGGTAGTGATCTTCGAAGTAGTATAAACACTAAACAGAACATCTGAAACATTATACTGTAAGCACACTTTATTTTATGTAAGCACACTTTATTTTATGTATAAGTGTGTGTTGGACACCCTCTCCCTTTGAGCTGGCTTTTGGAGTTAAGTTCTACCCAGACCTATTTGTCATGATATTAGAGCACCCAGGTTTGTGTGTTTGGTGGCAATGTTGGGTTTTGGACCTAGCCCAACTACGCGTGAAAGCAAGTGTTAAAAAATTTATGTTTGTTCAACATTGATTAGTTACTGGGCTTTATTGTGTATAAGTGTGGGTCGGACACCCTCTTCCTTTGAGATGCCTTATGAGATAAGTTCTATACAGATCCATTTATCACCAACGATCTCCATGTGGTCAAGCCACAGGCATAGATTTTCAAATTAATGGTATTGGTTGCCAGCACATGAAACTTAATTTGTTCTTGTCCTTCCCAACTTACACTTTCAAAGTAGTCAAAACAACTAACATATCCCAAATTTTCTATGACGAGCATAGTTCGCCTTTATGTGATTTTGCCATATTGTTTTGCAGAAACTTGGTGTCAATTGCATTGAACTTATGCCGTGTCATGAATTCAATGAACTGGAGTACTACAGCTATAACTCTGCCTTGGGCGACTGCAAGTACTTCGAACTTACTCCTTTTAATTCGGAATTTTGTTGTGAACTTGTCAATATCTTGGATTTGTTAATTTTAAAATGCCACGGTGAATCCACTGTTGAACGAATTCCTCAAAGGTATTTCTGACAATCAGTGTTGACTGCTCATATGAAGTGATTTCTGATGGTTACACTTTTCAATTACGTGACATATGAGTTTCTACTTCAAATCGTGGATGTAGGAGCTTGTCAACAGTATGTATATTTTCTTACCAAAATTTATGGTAACTGATTAGCTCTCCCAGAAGCAGAATTAGTGAATAACTAGCAGCTGATGTTTTTCCTCTTTGACTAATATGGAGTATGATAATTTTTATGCACCATCACTGTCGTTTATACAGTTACGGTTATCCTGGTGCTGGAGAATGGACGGTAATAATATTTGGAACTGTTGATAATTTGAGTATATGGATAGGAAACTAGGACAATGTGTTCATATAGCAGCCCAAAGTCTGAGAAATTTCTAATACTAACATTCAATGACTCAGTGTTTGGTGTTATAACCAAAACCAGCATTCATAAATTCCTTTTTCATTTTTGACCAAGTGAATCCTAAACATGTTAAGAGTATAACTAGAAGTCTAGAACATGGTGTTATTCCCGCCTTACCTTGACATTTCCTGATATCTGAAGTCTGATATTTCTTCCTGGTGGAGTCTTTCTTCCTGGTGGAGTGAAATATTGATCCAACTATTTTTGGAATATAATTTATGGTCTTATGTATCTAGGAACTATTGGTGAAATGATTCTCAAAAAGTGTTCATTCACCTTTGTATAACATTGTCTCATTCAGGATGAACTTTTGGGGGTATTCAACGATCAATTTCTTTTCACCCATGGCAAGATATTCTTCTGCTGGTACTGCTAATTATGGCATTGGTGCAGTACATGAATTTAAGTATCTTGTTAGAGAAGCGCACAAACGAGGAATTGAGGTACAAGCTCCTTAATCATGTATGAGTAGAATTTCAGTGGAATTTATGTTTAGTTCTCCAACTGTTTCCAATGTAACAGGTAATTATGGATGTGGTTTTCAACCACACGGCTGAAGGGAATGAAAATGGCCCTGTAGTATCATTTAGGGGTCTTGACAATAGTGTCTTCTATATGCTTGCTCCTAAGGTATGCCCTATTTATATTTGTTGTTCATTTACCCTGTAACATTAGTGAGTTTTTAATTGTTAGACCATCATTTCTTTTTCCATGCATTCTGTTAGACGTTGTGTTTGTCCCACATCGATTAGTTGCTGAGATGTTCTTGTGTACAAGTGTGGATTGATTGGGCACCCTCTCCCTTTGAGCTATCTTTTGGGGATGATTTTTACTCAAGCCCATTTATCACGGTATCAAAGCACCCAGGTTTGTTTGTTTGTTTGTTTGGGGGCGATGTTGGATTTGGACCCCGACCCATTTGGTTTGGCTCGCTGTGCATGAGGGAGGGTGTTAGAAGTTATTTCTCCCACATCAATTTAGTTATTAGGCTATTATTTTGTATGAGTGTGAATTGGGCACCCTTTCCTTTGAGGTAGCTTTTGGGTATGAGTTCTACCCAAACCCATTTATCACGTTAACATTTTTTACCCGGTAAAGTTTCGAAAATTGTTTACATCTGTATTTGTGCGGTTGAACATGCAATTCATTAAGGTAGAAGTATTTATTTTGGCGCCTGTGTTGCTAAAAGATTGACGGAGCATGAGTTTTATAGTTTATCATTCAATAACAAAAGAATAGTTCTCTAATGAAATGGATTTAACTGGTGTACAGTTCCATACAAAATTTCTATTTTTGACCTCATGTCCTTCTCATTTTAAGAGTATATGGAAGTTTGTGACATAAAGTCTATCTCGCATTGGTATATTCTTGTGGAAGAGTAATATTAAAGATTAAATTAGAACTAGGTTAGTATTCCATAATATAATTTTATTGAGTTTTTAGCCTTAAGGGTGAAAAGCGAATTTGACTGAAGATTGTCATCAGTTGTGTGATTAATCTTTCATCATCAGTTGTGTGATTAATCTTTCATTGCGCGTTTAGCATTTTGTGTTAAAATATCATTCATAATGTAATCTTGATTTAGTTTCTCTGCAGCTTTTGTCTGGGCTATGGGTCCAGTTGATTTAGGATAGTATCACCATGTTCCATCTAACTTTTTCCATCTTGGAAGATGAACAGTTGTTATAAGATTGCTGGCATGTTCTGAAGGATAATCTTTCTGAAATCAATTCAAAATTTGATAGGGTGAGTACTACAATTACTCAGGTTGTGGGAACACCTTCAACTGCAATCATCCCGTTGTACGGCAATTTATTGTGGACTGCCTGAGGTAAAACCACATTAGAGTTAATCTTTATCTTAGACTTAATATTAATTATATACTCTCTTATGTCCAGGATTTTGGATTAGGAGATTCCTCGTATAATCTTTCTCATATTGTTGATTTGAAAGAAGAACAAGGATACTTCCTAGTTCATTATTTTAATAGCTCTTTAGATTTTAAATTGATAACTTGGTATTTCAAATCTTTTATTTAGGGGAGGATATTTTCACAGTTATGCATCGAATCTCGGTCTTTCAATATTTCTGTTGCATTGTTCCCTATCACAATTTAAAAAATGCCTCTTATTTTCCTTTTCAAGTTCTCCATATAGGTCCATCTTACAATAACAGAATTTTGACATTTATTTATTTGGCTTAGTCCTTGATTTTGGCAGGTACTGGGTGATAGATATGCATGTTGATGGCTTTCGCTTTGATCTTGCTTCCATCTTAACTAGGAGTAGCAGGTTAGTGCTGTCATATGCTTGACATGATTGCTTCTTATTCAGCTGATAATTTTGATTTTGTTAAATTCTTGTATTATACTTACATTTTACCTATGGCTTTTCCCTTTCCAGTCTCTGGGATGCTGTAAATGCACGTGGAGGTTCAGTTGAAGGTGAGACAGTGACGACCGGAACCCCTCTCTCTAGCCCTCCATTGATTGACATGATTAGCAACGACCCCGTACTTCGTGGCGTAAAGGTATCTAGCTACTCTTATGCTTATTTATTATTTCAAAATTTCCTCTCTTCAACAACGAAAGAAATAGGTCTGAAACTCCGAATTTTGAGCCACCAACAATATAGATTTGTATGACACAATGCATACTTCGAAATCAATGCGATGTCCTTCCCTAAGAGAGGATTTAGTCTTCCATTTAAGATTTTTATTTTTATTTATTTCATTAATTGTGCCTTGGTACAATGCCAATGTTTTTGTTGCTTTCAGGTTTTGGTTTGACCATTATTTTGAACCCTCAAAAGTATAGTTATAGTTGTCAGCATTTAGGAGGTTGCCTTAACAGTGTTGTATTGCTGAGATGACTGAGGCATTTTTTCTTCCTTGACCAGCTTATTGCTGAAGCATGGGACTGTGGCGGGCTTTATCAAGTTGGCATGTTTCCTCATTGGGGTATATGGTCAGAATGGAATGGGAAGGTAAGTAAAAGGTGTATAAGCTGTTTATCTGTGGGCACTTCCGACTTGCCACCTTTTCTTCACTCTGTTCATTTTAGAAATTTTAAGACAGCTCCATCATGAGAACTGGACTACTAGATGATGGTTTTTAACAAATTTGTCTAATCGTCTATGCTTCTGTCTTTTCGTACTATGTGTTTTATTCTCCATTCTAAGTACATTGTAACTGTAACAATATGTGAACAGTACTTTTTATCTGTTTCAGTACCGTGACATTGTGAGGCAATTTATTAAAGGCACAGATGGTTTTTCTGGGGCTTTTGCTGAATGTCTGTGTGGAAGCCCCAATTTATATCAGGCATGTCATCTTTTCACGTTTTATACACACACACACACACACACACACACATATATATATATATGTATGTATGATTCCTGAATTTTACCTATTACGAAAGTTTTACATCAAATTTTTATTTTTATTTATTTGTTATCTTGAGTTTTATTTTTTCTTTTGATTACTCGCTAATCGGAATTAGGTAGGTGGAAGGAAACCTTGGAACAGTATCAATTTCATCTGTGCTCATGATGGTTTTACTTTGGCTGATTTAGTGACATATAACAACAAGCACAATCTGGCTAACGGTGAAGATAACAAAGATGGTGAGAATCACAATAATAGTTGGAATTGCGGCCAGGTAAATCTTTCAGCTAATGTGTTGATCCTTTTTCTCTTATACCTTGGACTTAAAAGTACTTGAGAACACATCTGTAAAATAATATGACTCTGCTCAAAGTATGATAACTAGGTTTCCAGGACTTTGTTTATGAAGCTTGTAAAACCACATTTAACATGTTCATTTTCTCTCATATGTCTCTGCAATGACTGTGTTCTGAATCTTCCTGTTCCATGAACAATGTGATTGTAAGCTACAACTTACCTAGGGGATAGTCCTTGTCTTAGACAATATTATCATTTTCTTTTCTAGACAAGTTTTCCCACCTACCCAAGCTTTTCCAGTGTAAAATATTTGGTTTATGTAAGAAAGGGGGGTAAAACAGATGCGCTCCCACGCACGTAAAGCGCACCATAACATGGTGAGTCCAGATGAATCCCAAGTGAGGTTCCATCCCAAAACCAATTGGTTGATGGGAGGAGTAGCCCACTAGGTTTATAAGGTAGGTCTATTTGGGACAACTCACAAGTGATATTCTAACAGTTTAATTTGAATATTAGATGATATTCGTATTATTCAACTGGAAACTTTCCATTCTTACAGCTCTTGGTCTAAATTTGTCTCAGGAGGGAGAATTTGCAAGTCTTTCTGTGAAGAAATTGAGACTACGCCAAATGAGAAACTTTTACGTGTGTCTCATGGTTTCCCAAGTAGGATCATTTTTTGTTATCTTGTTTCCTTTAAAATGCATAATTGAAGGTTGCATACTGATTTTATTTATTTATTCTTTAGTCTAGTACATACTCTCATTTCATGTGTTTACCTTTCAACAGGGCGTTCCAATGA